GTCCCGGGCTGGACGTTTGGGGAAGGTGAGCTGGCGAGGGACCATCCATCCACTCTGTGATGGCTAGCAGCCGCCCTCCGCCGACCATTAAGAGCCCACCTCGCAGTCTGCAGGGACTGCCGCGAGGACTTGTTAGATTTCATATTTTGTATAAACCAGTTGTCATTAGTCATCGAAGGAGCTAGGGTTCTGCGAGCGCATCCACTCTGAACTGGAAATACTTCCATTCCCCGCTTCAAAAACTGACCCGCCTTGGGGCGGGCAGGTGGGCAGGTGAGTGCGTGGAAGCAGGTTCACATTTCTCAACGCTCGAAAACGACAGCCCTACGTAAGCGAGAGGCAGCTCTTGTCTTTTACCATTACAGCGTTGGGAAAGCCATCAATGGAGTTCGTTTGTTTTGTTTTCTACTTCTGTGGAGTTTTTGTGACGTGAGTTGGAAGCGGTGCTGTCTTTTTCCTCGTTCTAATATTCACTGGCAACATTGTTCGGTCTCTTCCGTGGGACTCCTAACAATTACGGGATGATTAAGGCAAACGGGAGGCAGACAAAACACAGAAATAACTAAAGAAAGACTAGCAGAGATAAGTTCAGGGACTCAGTTGAATAAGTCTCCACTTTCCTTTTGGAATATGGCGATGACTTTAGATTCTTTGAAATACAGCAATGAGAAGAGGTGCTTTTGAAAATCTAATTCAGTTGTGGGAATTTGGATTACGGGGAGATTGCCAGAATTCTGTCGTTTGAATATTTGAAGTCTTTCTGGATGATAAAAGATTTGAGTAAGCACTGATTTGAAAAGAGAATGCAGTATGTACAGTGTTAAGCTGGGCCACCCTCTCAGCTATAGGCTGGGACTGAGCTCTGCCCTCTACTATGTCACCCGGGTTGTTTACTCTTAGTTTCTTCAACTGCAAAATGGGGATAATTATAGTATATCTTTTAAGATTGTTAGGATTAAATGAAATATAAAAGCACTTACATACATATAAAGTTCTTAGCTGAGTACTTGGAAATACTAAGTGCTCCATAAACATTAGCTTAATATAGTTAGCTTAATATATATATTTATAACTCCAATTTGCTTTGTGAAACTAATGAATCTTACCTAGACTACGAAGAAAATGTTGTTCCACACAAGTTAAAGTTAACCAAATTTAAATAATACTTGGGCTTCACAATAAAAGAAAGTAAAAGAAAGAAAGAAAGGAAAGGAAAGGAAAGGAAAGGAAAGGAAAGGAAGGGAGGGAGGGAGGGAGGGAGGAAGGAAGGAAGAAAGGAAGGAAGGAAGGAACTTTAAAAACCCTGGCAAAAAATAACTAAGGAAGGAAGGAAGGAAGGAAGGAAGGAAGGAAGGAGAAAGAAAGGAAAAGAAAGAAAGAAATGTGAAAATGCACCTACTAATTAAAAAGCAGCTTTCACCAAATAAGTCTTATGGACTTAGGACAAGTTTTTGGACAAGTAGTTGATAGTTATTTATCTGAACAAGTATGGACTAGGGAGTGATCAAAATTAATCCTTTCTTTGGTGAGAGTAGCAAGTTTCAGCAGGGGCCAGGAGGGCCAGCGTTTATTGAAGTCCTATTATTACCAGGCTTTTCATAAGGGATACCTTCCTTAGTCTCATAGCAGCCCTGTGATGTAGGTGGCATTATTTCCATTTCACAGATAAGATGAGAACACTGAGGTTGGCCCACAGTTAAACAGTTAGAAAGTGTCAAATCTAGTTAGAATTTGTGACTACTGCCCATGCTGTCTCACTGGGTGGTGCTAATGAGCAATGTGCTCATTTCCAGACATCCTTTATTTAAAGAAGGTGGAAAAAATATCCTTTCAAGTTCCCCCATCCCTGAAAGGAAGAACAAAACAAAACGGGTCTCTGTGTCAAAATCCAGGGCCACGTTTTCCTTACACAAAATCCCTGCAGATTCCTTTTTCCTAGGCCGTTTGACATTTTAAGGCCTTTGTAATAAAATAAAAATCTAAAACTGGTGGTGGAGAGGAAAATTCCCCATAATTTGGTTATACTGCTGGCTTTGAAGATGACCACCAAAAATCAACTGGTGCCTTACATAATAGCCTGCTCACTTAATTCTTTTGACATTCTGTGGTAAACACTAAAATTAAGCAAGCTGCTAAGTGACTTGGCGTCCTCCTGGTAAATGATTCCAGAATCTTTGGAGTTCGTGAAAGTGCAGTCTTGGGAGTATCAACACATTTCCCAGACTGATTGCTAGAGATGGTCTTGATTGAAGCATCTG